GTGAAATATAGGAAACATAGCTCAGCATACTGCCCTTTGAGGGAATTCTGATTTAGAAAAGTACTGAAATATGCATGTGCGGCGATGAAGTGCCTCTCTGCCAGGGACCCGCCGTGCGAGGCGGCTGCACGCAGCTATGAGTGCAGAGGCTTTCCCTGCCGAGTCTTAGACTGCCCTCCTTGGCCAAGCCACGTCCTGGCTGCTGGCATGCCCTCAGCTGTAGGGGAGGCCTCTTCTGAGAGTACCACAGGTAACTTCTTTTTTGTTGTTGTTGTTTTTTCATTATTTTAATAAGGACAGTAGAATAGTGGGTTGTTTCCAGTGTATTTTCTGCTGAGTGATAAAGCAATCTAAATGAATTTAAGGCATGTAAATGTCTGTAACGCATTATAAGGGCTGTGAAGTGATGGAACCAGATTTAAAAAGAGATTTCGGCATCTAAAGCTTCAGCCACTTCCAAAAATGCATTGGATACCTACTCATGTCTTTGGCTGCCCAATTAGTCCAAATAATAATTTTAAAAAAGACACGAGTCTCAAAGTCTCCGGAGTCTGTATCGCACCAGTTGGTAATATACACAATATATGGACTCCTAAATAGAAGGAGCTCATAAATCTGGCAAAAAAATGTCTCGCACATGCTGGCCACGCGTTGTTAATGTTGCCCAGCAGAATAACCTGGAGAATATGACAAATCTTTCAAGCAAGGTGAAAGCAAAGCGCTTTTGTGTGGTTGTTCAATATTCTTAGTCTCATCTGGATTTTGTTTGTTTTGTTTTGAAAGCAGAGATGACATGACAGAAGAACACTGAATAATACAAACCTAGAAAGAAAATAATGTGATCGTGAGATGTGTGGGGCTGTTTGTTTGTTTGTTTTTACTTCCTTTTCTGGGGCGTCCAGGTAACTTTCTGACAGACTTGCCATCTCCGGGTTGGCCAGACACCATCACGCAGGGGGTGCCGCTCGCCTGGGTCACGGCGGCGGGCGCAGAGCCCCGCCGGCTTTCGCCCCGCTCGCCAAGGCGGCGGTCGGGGCTGCAGCGCAACCAGCGGCCGAGCTCTCTGCCTCACGCTGGTTTCCTTACTTGAACGTAAACAGCTGGCGTGAGATGGAAGTGGGAATCCTCGGGAGTGACAGGCGTTTCAGTGTGATGTATCTACTTATGTTTTACGCTCTTTTCTTTTCTTTTCTTTTTTTTTTAATGAATAATACATTCCCAAAACTCACTGATAGACTCAACAGGCAAGTTCGGGGGGGGGGGGGAGGGGAATTGGTGAAAAAGACAGGAAGCTGAACTCCAAGTAGCTCAAAAGAGAACGTTTATCTGACCAGAAAACAGATAAAATAATGTTTTCCAGCTTTCTATAGGAAAGTTTAAGTATTGCTGTGAAGAGCCACAACACATTACTTCTTTGATTAGACAGTGATCCAGAAGAGATTAGATGTTCACTTGATCTCAGTTGCTCACAATGGCCAACACTAGCAATGAGCTCACGCTGATTTAAGCGAAGGGAAGGTTTGATCTTGTGTTATCTGCTAAACTTGCTAAATTCCCAGTCTGACCAACCGTCAGCTCTGCCTCTGCTGTTGCCTTTTGCTTCCCTTAAATCATAGCAATGTAGATAGAGGGCTGGAAGGGTGACACCCTCCATGCCCCTCCACCCCTAAAACAAAGGGAATAGGTGAAAAATGATCATCTTTATGTAGCTGTTCTTGCTCTTTGAGCTGCAGCACTAGCAAAGGCTGAGCGGTGGGGACAACCCGTACGCTTGCGCACCTGACAGTCTAATAGCTCTGACCTGCTGGACCTGGACACCACTCCGAGTAATTACTCACGCCAAGTAATGCTCGGTGTGAGTCAGGGCACTGGCGTCTTCTCCTAGGTCACACGCTCATAGAGTGAAGAGCTGGGTCTTCCTGTGTGTCTGTACCAGGCTTTGTGCTAGAAAGGGCTGACCTTTGCTGAGCTCTGCCACATACTCTGCGTATTGCTTGTCAGTTGGTT